CACCCCAAGCTTCCCTACCGCGGAAACAGAATACTCCCTACGGAGCTCTTCGTCGCCACCCGGTACAATCGCGATCCAACCCTGAGCCAGTTCCTCTAACAGCAATTCATCAACGGTCTCGGAGTGGTCAATGGCCGACTTCCAAGAGGATTCACAGTGCTGCAAGGGGATGGTGGCAGAGTCGGGTGGGCCCGGGGGCGCCATCACTTTGCACGGCGGGATGGGCGACGAGATCCCCAGGGGAACCCCTTCGCGTAGTAGGTCAAAGTACGCAGTGTCAGGGTCAGCGCACGCCACGCATAGGCGGTGCCATAGCTCAAGACGGAAGGGCTGCCCTGGTTGAACCCGGAGAAGGTGACGCCAAGCAGCGTCGTCAGTGACCCCTAAGAAGCTGCGCAAATCCGATAGGAAAGGTTCCAGTTCGGATTCAGAGAGTGGAGGTTCACGGCTGCCTGAATTGAGAGCAGTGGCGATGCGCACCGCAAGGCCATCTCGGAGGAAACGGCGAGACCACGCCGTGCGCAGGCTGCGGAAAGGGTCCGAGAATTTGGCAGGATCAGGGCGGGCAGTGCTACACGTGCCAGCTCCGTCCTCCACCCGGTGCTTCAAGTCTGGCCAGGGTAGTCGAGCGGGAAGCAAGGAGTGCCATGTAGCCAGAGCAACCGGAGCAGTGCCCGATGTGTCTTTCGACAGCCACGGGGCAGCAAGCTTCGCCAGAGACAGTGCCAGGGAAGCAGGGTAGGCTGCGGTGTTCCGCGTGAGAAAGGAGCCATCTGCAGCCCTTTTCCCGGACACGGCTGGATGAAAGCCGATGGAATGCGGGCACACGGACGCAAGCTGGGAAACGGATGCATCATTGCAGCAGAAGGACCAGGACTTGTGCAGCTGAAGGCCAACCTGACAGGCAGCAACCGTGGCCATGAAGGGAGCCGCAAGACGGCACCAAGCGATCACCTCAGGGTCAAGCCAGAGTAAACTGGAGGACGGATTTTCTAACCAGATCAGTCCGCCACGGCCTGCCACCAAATGCAGCAGGTGACGTGTGCGGGAATGCAGTAGCGCTGACGTCTCCAGTTCCCTAGCCTGAGAAACCGAAGGGTGCGGTATGCCAGTGGGGTGCAGAAGAGTGCGCACAGGAGGCGGGCCCCCCAGACGAAGTCTCGCCCGAGAAAACGCAGAGCATGGGGGGGCCGCAGCTGCCACACCTACCAGGCCAGAAGAACACAGCCGCTGGAGATTCTGAAAGGTGGAGTCATCCAGAAGGTCATGAGCCGGACCGACCAGTACGTCCACCGGTTCCAGGCGAGCCAAGCCTAGGTCCGCAACCGCTTGGGAGACTGGCGAGGAAGCACCAGCAAACAGGTCCAAGAAAAATCGCTTGGCAGGCGTGGCATGCAGAGATTCCGACGGCGACTCGTCCACTTGAGTGGGAGGAGCCGGGGAATCCGCAGGTACCACAGTCGCAGGGAGGCGGACAGAATCGTCACCCGCCGGCGGCGGAGCACGTACCTGGAAAGGAGGGTGGGCGGATGGAGACGGACCCGGGAGCCGTGAGCCCGTAGGTTCAGGCGGAGCCAGTGGCAGAGACACAGCAGGAGGTGCTGGCATGGTTCAGTGAGGTGTCTTGCCATGGTCCAGGGCGGTATGCGGCTGACCACAGGCCTTACCATTGGGAAGCGGAACAGGACAGCCATGGAAGAAGCGACAGTCTTCTTTCGTGCATTTCCCGACCGCGAATCGCATACATGCTTCTTTCCCGTTGATGGTGCGGAGCCAGGAGGGATCGAACTGCTTGGGGGGCGGGTTGGCAGTGGCCTTGGCTTTGGCCTTGCCCTTGGGCTTGGCCGGGGAGTCACCCTTTCCGGCGGGATTCGGCGGGTCGGAAGCAGAGCCGGGACCATCGGCACTGTATGTCCGTTTGCGGTCGCCCTTGCCACCACCCGGGGGGCCCGACGGGGGTTTAGGCGGACGCGGTCTGGCCTGCAGCAGATTCGCCATTTCACCGCGGCAAAAGGCAATCTCATTGAGAGAATCCGAAAGACTCCAGCCATGGTCCCGGATGATCCATGGGCGGTGTCAGTGACAGATGCAGGAACCTATCATTGAACTTCTTGACGGTGGCCAGATGGACTAGGTCCAGCATGGCCAGGGCAGTGGCGAACAAGCTCAAAGAGCGACGCAATACAGGGTCAGGTGGTCCCTGNNTTAATCGATGCAGATGCAGGTTCAGCATCCGCGTCCAGCAAAGACCGGAGCAGTTGACGGTCGTTGCGGGGGCGCCGTGCCTCCTCCCAGCGCGTGGCATCGGATTCCGATGTACGCAAACGCCACGGGACCCATAGGGACTGCTGCGAGTCATGATGGTTCTTAAGAAGAGAAAGAAAATCCACCGATGGGGCAGAGTCCGGGGTCAGGAGCTCGCCAGGATACTTGGCCAGAAAGTTCTTGCGCAAGTGTAAGAGATCAGGGACTGCAATTTTGGACGATGATGCAGACGCAGGCGGGGCCGGAGGCAAGGCGGTAGTGCCGAGAGCCGGCTTGGATGG